GATCCATCTCGACTTCGGCTTTTATAGACCACGGTGAAAGGATTAGGGTGGAGGGAGTGTGATGGCAATAGCCACGACCTCACGCAGACCACGCCTCGCTGACCCAGGCTCATCCGTTCACATCGCACGATTGAGGTGGCAGTCGGTCACATGCTGGCACCCACCTGCAGTTCTAACGTGCAACAGCCAAAATCGCGCATTCACCTCTCATTCTTCTTCTCCTTCAGGGAAAGACTGGTTTCGGTGCCACCGAGCACACACGTGTAGCGCCACCTCAAACCCATATGCCACAACATCCCTCCCTCCTCCCTTACTCACGCAATTGTGTTAATACCAGCTGCATGATCCTTGCCACTGACGCAGGCATCGAACACGATGACACAGTGAGTTGGCTGATGATGGCGATGGAGGTCTACGTTGTGTCACTTAGGCATGCCCTTGAGGTCAGCACTGTATCAACAGACTTCGCGCCTGTTCTCCATATGGTATCAGGCACGGCCATTGTATGAGTGCGGTTCTCGAACAGCTTCGGTTCAGCAGCTTACCACCTCTAGCTCACATCTGAGATGCAGGTGGGTCCTTAACGGATAGCTGCGTGGAAAAAAGCCTCATGGAGAAGGCATCTGACTCACTGCATCTGACACTCAGCACAGGGATTTGTGCAACGATCGTGCTCCTTCCGTTTTCACGTCTTAATGCACACTTCGTTGCTGCAACACATCACCTCCACCTCTGGCACACGTAGGCTCCAATTGAGGTGCACAAGGTATGACTCACGAAGCAGTAGCACATGAAGTGGCTGCACGCTAACCAGTGTGAACTTAATAAACAGCGCAAGTGTTGGCAGACAGCACAACCTGTGTCCAATTCCACCTCATCATCACCTCCACCATCACCACTGCACTGCAACACAGCCTTCAGTTGCCACACTCCTTCTCCAACCCTCCTCTGACTCGACGAGGGGGAAATCGTACTCCAGCAACAATTGCTGACGTTTGTCCAAGGAAGGTCGTTATGCTAATGTGGTGAACTGTGTAAGGCGGCAGCAGGCTCGGTTAGCGAGACTTCGCCACACGCCACCAACTATATTGTGCACACAACAGTTACCGACGCCACTAGATGTTTGTTATACGAACCTCGCACCAACTATAGGTGTGTGTGTGTGTGT